TTCCACGGACAGAAATTTTCCAAAAATATCATTGTTAAAAGTTTGAAAATTTTCAACTTCAAAATAGTTTTCCGACGGAAAATTTGTGTAGGCCAATCACATTTTACAAAATTCTCTTTCTGCAGAAAATTTTCCTGTTTGGAAATGGGCATTTATAGTCAGTCAATTAAACGTGAATTCATTATCATTATTGGCTGGGGTTGGCAGTGCAATTTGGATAATTCTTCTTATGTATTGAAGTAATCTCCCCTACCGTGACGCGTTTTCAACCAAACATAATGGCATGAGAGTTAAAAAGATTTCACGCAGTGCAATTCATCAAAACTTAGCGAGAACGTTAATATTGACTGTCATTTTAACAGTTCAAAAACATTTGTGGCTCGAAGCTTGCTTCCCTCGTGTTATTTTCGAGTCCTGCTTCAAGTATTCACGAATATAAATGGCAACAAATAGAGGAATGTTTTCGTGTTTTTAAGATGTAATCTTTGAGTGTGTGCTTGCGGTTTTGTTTTTTGTTTTTTTTATTGATGATTAAGGTAGCTCCCCGTAGTTTTCCGTAACAATGTTGCCATTTTAACAAAACCTTATAAAGATGGTTATTGTGAAGGAATGATTTGCACGTTTTGTTCCGAAGTTATGACCTTTAAAGCAAAACTGTGTGTATGAAATTGCTGTAAATGAAGAGATATCATTGAGTAATTTAAGAGATAAGTGTTTATTTTGAAAATACACTTTATTTGATACTTAGCATGCATTGATTTAAGATATTAATTCAGTTGTATATAGAGGTCACTGGTCAATGACTATATGGTTTGCAGTTTCGCTTGACTTCAGTTTTTACTCCAGTAATTAAACTCTGCAGTGAAAATATTAGTCCAATTATCTATAGAGCCCACAGACTGAAAGGAATAATGTAATAGAATAACCTTTATAAAAATGCATTGACTTTTATGTACTAGTAAAAACATTAGCAGCCGATCTTGTATCTCATGCAGATAAAGATCAGATGCGAAGTTAAGGCACAATAGAGAGCTTATCGGCTTCGCGTTCAACGACAAACGTTAGGCAAAGAAAAAATTACGCTATATAGCAAAGTAAAAAGTAAATGGGCTTGTTGTTTTGGACTAGAATGCTTGACTATTCCTGTGCCATATGAAAAAAAAATATGACGCGCAGAAATCGAACAAAACTATTATGCCAAGAAATTTCGGTCTTGCCGTTTGCCGTTCCCGCAAACGTGAACTGCTTAAACTCCCTAATATTTCAACCACGTATTAACCCGAGCGCGCGCCGTTACATGTGTGATTGGAACGTTACATTCGATCATGTTACAGCGAAATTCGTGCAAATTGCTTGAGCTTCGAGAACAAGATTTGGGAGGGCCTTGCAGATATTAAAAATTCTTCGTTTCAAAATTTGATTTATGGCTACGGTTAAATTTAATTCGTTAAGGTTAACATGTACGTGTATTGTCGTGATAAGGATTTGGGGGATAGATCAGATACACAGAATGTTAAGACAGTTAAGTGTATCCGATAACATAAGTACATTTGGGTTTAGTAAGGTTATTGGAAAGTTGTATTATTATATCAGTTTTAAATCTTGGGGAAAATTGTGGTTATCTTTATATGATATTTCCAGTGAACATTTTCTTATAAACAGTTATAAAGTGAGTTAAGTGACTTATTGATAAAATAGAGATGCTTTCATTTACTTTTATTGCATATAAACCAGCGCATACGGTGGTGTGGTTACAATATAAACTCAATGCGCACGCAGAAACCCGCAAATTGTATTTTTCGTTACCTGCATTGCCACTCAACATTCAAGGGCTTTCCTCGACTCTGAGCTCTCACCAGAAACTCTGTTTTATGGAACGATTGCGGCCACTAAGTGATTTTGGAAATCTGACCATCCCCGGTTTGATCGTGTCAACAGAAAGCGCCCTATAGCTTGCAATATTCATGTTTTTAACTTCTGTTTTATCGATAAGCACAAGCTACTAATGCTGGAATGTTCTAAGGTACTCGTAATAAAAACAAACTAAATATCCGCTATTGATTTAAGGATTATCGTCCCCAAATGAACAAATTCAATTTAAGTAAACCTTCACTGTTACTTAAATTAGCATATTTTGCGCTTTCTGATCCATTAACGTGCAAAATTTAAAGTATGGTAGCGCACGAAGTAGCGATTTTGCGCATTTGAACCATGAACGCGCAAAATAAATACGCCGGTAGCGCACGAGGTAGAGATTTTGCGCATTTTGATACGTGGTATGGTAAATATGCATGGTAGCGCACGAAGTAACGCACGCGCGCATTTTCTATTTTGAAGTGTCCGTTGACAAAACCTGACAATAAATAGAGTAGCGATGTCTCATGCAATATAATCAATTTCAAGTGTTAATATGTTTATATTGTGATGGTAGAGATATCTTCTATGTTTTGAAAAGCACAGTAATGGGAAAATTGACCGTAAAGTAGTTTTCACAAACAAACACACAGCTTATACACCTAAGGCTAAGCAATATAAAGTGGTTGCCCTTACTGGACATCTAGCGGCAAAACAATGTACCAAGCTTTCGTTGATAGGGACGCAACTACCTGAAAAATATAAGGAGAATTTCGAGGCTATATAGTCGGACTCCAGAAACGTCGAAATTATCTTTCTATTTTTCAGGTAGTTCCATGGCACAAATATATTTTAATTTAGTTTGACAAAGGTCAGTGAACCAATTAAGGTTACAGGACACCTTTGAGTGTTAAATTGGCCCAAATTTTTTTTATTGGCTTTCATAAAAGCTTTAAACCACTTCTAATATCTGACCAAGTTTGAAAGAAAAATGTTGAAAACTCGCGGAGTTATTTAATAAAATACATTTCTCTGCAATATAAACAACATTGAAAATGTAATATTCAAATTCAATTTTCTCGGGACTATTTTTGCGGTAATTACTGATTTTCAAGCCAGTTGTTCTCCTGTGCGTTGTAACCGATTGTTCTAAAATTTGCACAGCGCATAGCTGATGACTTCAGCATAAAAAATGTGTTCGGCTTTGTTTTAATTTTGGATATTTAGTGAATTACGAGCAATTCAGTCAACATAATTTGAAATATATTGTAATAATCAAAGAAATCAATATATCAAACGAACGGCGAAAAAGCTAAACAAAGCCGAACACGTTTTTTTAAAACAACTATTATATTTAGCTCTACAAAAATGTTATTTTCGAAAATATATCTTAAAACCGACAGGAGAACAACTCAAAGACGTGAAGGTACCGAGTTTTTTAATTTTCCGGAGTAATTCTTGGATTATTTTATTGGTTTGTCAATTTGACAACTTTATTATATTCTGCATGCCCTGGCAAACATTTGGTGAAAATTTGACAAAAATCGGACGCTTAATAAGCGCGTATAGTAGCGATTCTCCGCGAAACGCCACAAAAGGTGTCCTGTAACCTTAATACGTGTGGCCCTTATTGCATCTCTACGAAGAATATAAATAAAGTTTACTAGTATAGTTTACGTTTTTTCCAATACTCCTATGGTACTGCATGCGAAATTATCTCTTTCTGGATCTCCAGAGAGAACAGTTTAGAACTGATAGAGCTATCTAGTATATGTAAAGTTAATTTAAGTTCATTGACGGGAGAAATTAAGTCATATAAACACGAACCGAAATACAATTTGTACACTCGTACAATAGTGTGAAAATCCCGCCCAGTTGCGCCATACACCATATGTGTGTGAAAAACAAGCGCAAATACTTTACACAATACCCGTTAATCCGCCAAACCTACTTCAAATTGCCGAACAATAGTTTCTCGTAACATGAATCAACACATGAAATCCTTTAGCTCGCGGTTCGAGCTCGTAAAAACATCACACGACAAACCTAATTAAGTTTATTTATTGCTAGAGTTAACACTTTTATAGACAATCGATTCCATACGATTTTCATACCTTGGTTTTTGCGTGTACTTCCTTGCTTTGTAATCGCTGCTGTGAGCGTATCTTGGATTTTTGGTAGTTTTAATTCGCTGTCCACTGCGTAGGGTACGAATTAGGGTCTCTTTTTGAGGACTTTTCCTCTCCGTAATAACGGTAACTCCCAGCTGCGCACAGCTATTAAAGTCTTGATAAGGTGATAACTGCGCACTTTATTATGCCAAAAGGTTAATTATTTTCCTGGTCAAGACAGCGCGCACAAGATATGTATCTAAATACAACCCGCGCAGATACGGCGAATATCTGAATACAAGCCTTATCGCGATCAATTGGGCGTATTTATAACCAGTACCGTGAAGGCATGAAGCAAAACTTCAATTAAACTCATAAATCTCTGACAAAGCTAGACATCTTGCAGACAGCATTGTGAGAAATGTTATCGAGCAGAGGTGGAAGGTTAACAGAATTTTTATGCTTTACGATTTAACGTACTTAGCAGATGCGATGACATTTTCAACACTTAAAGCACAAACGCACCGCAATCGTTGTCCGCTTTGGTACTAGACATGGACTGGATTCAGGTTTGGAGAAGTATAAAGAGAACTAGCTTTGCTTGTACTGGATAGCGCTATCAACTTTTTTACTCGATACCTCTATGTATCGCATGACAAGACCCTTCGGGCAGTAGGGCGTCTGGCACCGATTGCAATACGTTCTCAATGAAAACATGATGTCGTACAGTTTTGTCAATGATTGGAGGTTTTTATACTGTATAACTATTTCAATTCTAAATATGTTTTTGTTAGTTGTCGAGAAAGGACCAACGCTTATTGATAAACTGCTAGTGCAGTTCAAACCTCGACTATAATTAAACTAAATATATTTATACTGGATGGCTGTATATGAGTTTTAAACTGTCCTCTCTAGGGATAGACTAGCTATATGCGTTAATCTCTTCTGCAATTGCGTCCCCCCCTCGTGTTTTAAGAATTGTTCGCCACATCGTTTACATGACTTTTCGTTAAGGGAAAACGTGCGTGAGCCGAGCGCTGATTATGCCAATATCGTGCGCACTTGCAGACAAGATCTTTGTTTACTTTTTGATAGTCGTTTATTTAATTTTCCTGCACATAAGTGTAATTACTTAATTGCGCAAATAGCGCGCAAGAAAAACAACCCAATTCTCTCATAAGTCCGTTCCGCCCAACGTTTAGGACATAAAGTGTTATAATTGAAGCCAACTGAGTTGAAGTCTTGGCTATTTCTTGCTTTCACTGAGCGTTACGAGGGAGCAGATGTTACTCGACTTCTGATCTGTTGACACTTTTGAGAGAAAGCAAATTAAACCATATATCTCTCAGTTCGATTTATGTGCGTCTAAAAATAAGACTGCTATACCTACTGTAGAATGAGACGAATTAACATTATATTCTCCGACTCTGAGAACCGCAGGTTGACCAACATCTGCTGCACGATAGTGCTTAGTGAAACCAAGCTATACTTCTCTTTTATAAGTTTCATTCTAGTACATTAATTAACATTTAATCATTTCATATCACACAATTAACCGATGCCATTGTACATGTCCGACACGCACATGTCCTCTCATAAGGCACATACTCGTGTCGACAGACAGAAGTAAAATGTTCTTAGCAGCGCATAAATCTTTTTAGACAAGTACAAGCTAATAGAGTGTTTAAGATGAACTCTTTTTAAGAACCTAATATACAAGACTAGTATAGGTGTTGACTCTGGTCTCTGCATAGCAACGCGAAATCGCAGCCACACGAGCTGTACACGGAATTAGAAATATTGATAGATGCTTATTAGACTGTTGGTTTTATTAATAAAAGTAGGGAAGAGACGGAGTAGAAACTGTATTCTGATCTAGCTTGACATGGACTCACGTTTGGTGGAACTTGGGCTGCTTGTGTACCTCTGCATCAGTCATGGGGGGAAGGGGGGGGGGGAACTCCTTGACTACCTCCATATCAATAAAATCTACTGGCATAGCCATAGTGTAGAACTGTTAGACTACTCTAGTATGTAAATGAAACGCTACTGATTTCTATACTGTAAATAATATTTGGCCAATAAAAGTTATAGCCCTTACTGGACCTTCATGGTTCAAATAAATATGCAAAAATATATGGTTTCAAAAATATGTTTTTATGATCTATTCGAAGGTTTCTTTTGCATGCCAACAACATAATTAATCACAGTAAAAGCATGAGAACTCAACAGCATTATGTACTCAATACCCACTCACATTTGAAGAGAATATTCGCTTAATTATAGAACATGCTTTATTAGAACATGCTTTAATTAGAACATGCTTTATTAGAGAAAAAGACAAATGATCATTGTGAAGAAGAATATTACCACAATATATAAACATTATTCGTTAATTAGAAAATGTTTACAAAGTTCCAAATTAGTGTGGGTAGAGTCAATATATTCATCGGATAGCACATGCACATAGGAACTTGACAAGTTGATTCAATGAGGATTTACCGAAACATACTCGACAATGATACAATTCCACATGGTTCCCCAACATGCATGCATGTATAGCCCTAATGCCGCTTAATATATAGCAAAATATTATCTTGAATATAAGGAAAAATACCATTGCTGGTGCATGTGAACTGTGTCTTATTTGTACACAATAATGCTCAGCCCCCTAAACCCGCACTCCCCCCCCACCACCCCTGTCTAAAATAAGGATCATTATTTTCAATGTAGAACGAGACTCGTAGCGAAATGGATATTCCGTCAACTCTAAACTGCCTTTCGTAGTTAGGACATCTAATTCCATAGTCGGCCTATCATGATGTACTTTTATTCCAGCCGTCAGTTAATCATTCACTGCATGGATACAATAAATTTTAAATTCTAGAAAATATTTGCTTTACATGTGGTATGATATAGTAGGCTATATCAACGGCTTTCCCCATGATGTATTATTGCTTGGCAATATCATTTATATCAATTTTTATGGCAATATCTTGGCCTAAATTTTTATGTCATGCACTTATGTCATTCGCGTCTTTTCATGTGCGTGAGGAACTAACCCAGGCAGTACACGGCATTATATATGACCTAATCCTTATGTTTGGATTAGTTACGAAAACTCCAATGTACAGCTTGACTGTGATTGTATATTTCCGTCAGAACGGTCAGTGTATAGATAGCGACGATGTTAATTACAAGACACCTGCATGCATGAGGATTGAGAAAGATACAATGGATGATTTCAGCCATCGATTAATTTTTTATCTAGACAAGAAAGACGAAATCTATCATTATAGCTCAAAAGAACATCCTAAAATTAGTAAAACTGCAAAGTTTGGTTGCGAAATGTTTTAAAATACGGAAAATCTAGCCCTGTGAAATAAGCAAATTTTGAGTATTTTAGTACTATACGCGCGCGGGAAAATGCAGGCACGTTCGGCCCAAATGCGGTGCTTTCCCTTGCGTAATATACAAATTAATACAAAATTTGCAAATTTCGCAGGGCTATATCTTAATTCCTCATTTTACAACATTTCGCAACCAAACTATGCAATCATACTAATTTTAAGATGTTCTTTGAACTTCTTTGTAGTTGTTGTGATGGATTTCGTTCTTTTTGCCTAGATCAAAATTTAGTATGTAGGTAGAATCATCTATTAACTATACTTGAAAAATACAAGCAGACCTTCGTTGTGGTTGTGTTTTTCCGGTAGTTGTATCTCTTTCAATCCGCGGTTGTATATATTTTCTTTCCTTATGTGTAATGCTTAAAACAAATAATCCATTAAAGTAGAAAATTTAATTAAATAAATCTGAATAATTATTATTATATACAGTATATGTTGAACATACCTTGTAATTTTAGTATTTTCGTAATAACCAATGTTCCCTTTTTCTCTGCCACTTTGAAGGGGAGTTTCCGTGGTTGCAAGTGTGACACTAGAGTACTCCAAATGGGCAGCAAGGATGTGGGAACTTATCAATATCGCGTTAAGAGCGCTTCTGATGCATATCAACTCAGGTACAAGTATTATATCACATTATCAAATTTTCTTTATCAATAATTCATGAACGAAACACAAAGGATGTCGATACCGTATAGCGTTGTCATGATACCACGAACACAGTTGGAAACGTCCATAAATTAAGTGAACGTTGAATTCCTCTTTAAGGCAGTAAGGTCTGGTCTTCAAAAGCACAAGCATAAGAGGGATAAAACGTATTGATTTCTTATATACTGGAAAAACATAGTGAGATCCATACTATGAAATTTGCAATTGCATCACATACCCCATTGTATGGAAATTTCAATTAGTATGATAAAATTGGATTTCCATACTATTTCCAAGGATTTTGAAAAAAAAATTCCCGTGTAAGCATCACATTAGCATAAGAATATCAAAAATTGCGTTCTTTTCTTTGTGCTTACACAGTGAGAACAAACACAAGAACATCAAATTGATTTGAAAGCGTTCGGCTTGTTTTTTTGGGTTTTTTTTTCTTGCGTTGTAGTGAGGGCTTAAATACTGGCTCATTTGAGAAGTTATAACATACACACACGTTTGGCCACAGGCACAGTGAATTAAAAGACCTTCAAGAATGTTAAAATGCTCGACCTCGTTTTCCAACACATTTTTTGACGCATGTTTCAAATGATGCACGATGATAAACTTACATCTATCGTGTACGATATAGTTTACTTATCAATTTTGATAAAATGAGCAGGTGCTTTTGGACCTATCATACTCCCACTTTTTTATTTATATATCTGTAAAATAACGCCCACCGAGACTTCAATATTAAAAAAAAAATTACGTAAATTGATAGTTTTGATAATGGCTAATCCGAACCGTATCTGATATAATGGGTATTATCCTTTGCATGCAAATTTTCTCTGTTTCACTCTAAAACTGTGTTTGAATAGATGGCTTTCACTAAATATATTAGGATTTTGGACATCCGTTACTCGCAGGGGCGTAGCGAAGCATCTGTATTTGGGGGGTGTCGGAGGATTTTACATGAAATTTGAACTTCAATGTTAAAAATTTACCTGAGTGTAATAATTATAATAGAGCTTTTTCTGATTGATTTCCACTGTCATCAGGGACGCCGCGGAACGATGTGAAGGCAAGGGGTGCCGATTTTCGTGAAAGGGCACTTTTGAATTGATATATACTAAGAGATGTTTGCAAAACATCGGGAGTTGAACTTCGCCTAATCATGTTTTCTATTTATTGGATGATAGGGGTGAGAGGGGGTTCTCCGCCAGGCGATTGTGCTATTCTTCTTCTTTCTGAAGCAAATACGTAAAAGAATTTCACTAACATTTCTGACAATTCGCTATTTCGCCAAGGCAATCCTTTAAATTGAAAGGGCACCTTTGCCCCCCTTGCCCCTCCTGGTAAAGGGCAACGGGGGCGGCTGCCCCTCCTACCCCCCCCCCAGTTCCGGCGTCCCTGACTGTCATAGTAAGTTTCCGAAGAAAAGGGGCGTCTGGGGGTCCTCCCCCAGAAAATGTTTACATTTTTGAAGCTCCAGGACTGCATTTCTGGCGTTTTCTAAAGCTAACTACAAGAACTTGTGGTTAGAGCTCGACAATGGACGACTGGCGCTTTAGAAAAATTTTTAATCTGGGAATAACAAAGGTATTTTTGGAAAGAAGTTATTAAAATTAGAAAAACTGCAAAGTTTGGTTGCGAAATGTTGTAAAATACGGAAAATATAGCCCTGCGAAGTTGGCAAATTTGTATACATTTCTATTACGTGCGGAAAGTGGTAACTAATTTAGTTACCAATTCACGCACGTAATACAAAAGTATACAAATTTGCCAACTTTGAAGGACTATATTTTCCGTATTTTACAACATTTCGCAACCAAACTTTGTAATATTACTCATTCCAAGACGCTCTTTCTAGCTGTGGTGATAGATTTCGTTGTTCTTACTTAGATTAAAATTTAGTCTAAAGCGCAAGTTGTCCATTTACTCAGGACTCTGTAGCTCAGTTGGTTAGAGCGCGCTGCACCGGAATCGCAGGCTCGCAGGGTCGATTCCTACCAGAGGGTGTGTATTTAGTTGTATTTTTCGCAGCTGGCTCCTGGGTAGATCTACAAATGTATCAAATTTACACTTGTATGTCCACCTGCAGAATAAGCGCTCGAGAAAGTACAATCACAAATGAGCTTTGGTAAAATAAACTTAAAATTAAAGTAAATTATGTTCTTTTTCAAATTTGGCTTCTAAATTGAGTATAACGCTATAAATAATCAGAAGTTGGCAACAATTTCACTGTGAACGTCATTATTGCCAGGCGAATAATTAGAGCAAGCAAGTTTGAAATATAATGTGGGAACTTCTCCTCGTGTGCGCGAAATTGCGTGAAATATCAACACTTTAATGTCATTGTGTCAATTATAACGTGATGAACATTCTTTGCATCTTGTGCTTAAACGTCATTGCATATTGATTATTTTGGATCTTTAATCCCCATCCTTGTGTTGATCTATTGTATCAGGGATTTTATTCTCAAATGTAATTTTCATTGATAATTCATGAGAAACACAATTAAATCATCACCATAGCTTGTATATCTGATACGAAATCCTGTAAGAACTCCAAAAAACTGTATATACAGCCAATTCAAAAAGAGCTTGTCCTTTGCAAACCTTAAACCTTAAACTCTAAGCGCGCAAAGCTTAATGGGAGCACAAGTTTCAAGCTTGGTAGTTGAATATTGCAGCTATTTGTGAATGAATTGTTCTCGTAAGGAGATATTTACCATGTCTCTAAGAAATGGGCCCCATATAAACTGATTAAATGATGCTGCGATTATGCTTTGCATGTTAAGGTTTAAGGTTTAGAGTTTAAGATTTGCAAAGGACAACCTTTTTTGAATTGGCTGTATAAGCTTGGGCGAGGGCCATTCCATTTAATATACCCCCCCCCCCCCCTATGGACGAGAATTTCTGTGCGTCGTCAGGGGTTGTGTGCATCGGCATCCTTTGATCTTTGCGTTTTTTTCTGAGGGGTAAGGCAAAAATTTCTTAATTTCTGGGCGGCGGGTGTGTTTGTGTCGGCACTTTGATCTTTTTTTCTTAGGGGTTCAAATTTTATTGATCTCGTCCATAGGGGTGTGTGTATATTAATAATGGAATGGCCCCAACGACGGAACGTGGTAAAATCTTTGTTGGGGATAACGAAACAAAGGAAAACTTTTCAAGTAACACAGATTCCCACCCCAGGATTCCCCCCAAAATTATTATGTATGAACGTTTATTTATATATAAATACTATGCCAAAATTAAAATTACACAGCCTTTAATAATTCTCTAAATATTTAGATGTGTTTTTTAACGTGTTCATATAAACACGATACCAAAAACAGCTTCATTTCTCCATGGATTGTAAAATATTTATTTTATTATCCATGATTTCTCTAACTACATGAGATTATTATTCCAGACCCAGGGTTATTTACCGTAGAACAACTTCTCGACCTGTAGGATAACTTCTCGTATAAGGGGTTATTTACCGTAGGGTAACTTCTCGAGGTTTAAAATCCCCCGTATATAAATTTCACTTCCTGTAGCAAAACAATGAGAAAATATTCACAGACATTTAAAATATTAACTTTGCGAAAACACCATGATATTCTAAAGATATCGGTATGCGTCGAAGAATGCCGAATATTCTGTCATTAAAAAGCGATCGTGATGAAAAGATTTGGAATTAAACTACTTGACGATGCCAGAATATAGATGATAGACCCATAGAACACGCCACATTGATAGATAGTTTTATTCTTGTGATCTGCGATCTGTGATCGAGTTCGAAACTCTCGATTGGCATTCAATAATGGGCAAAGCGAAATGCAAGAAATTTATGTTATTTGGTTTTAATGTCACATTTTTGGTAAGCTGTGATATTTATATAGCTTTGTGTAATTGTACGGTGTATATTTTCTGAATAGGGGTGAGATTTTAATTATTTTCACGGCAGTATTTATATGTGACAAGCTTTCAAACAAAAACAATTACGTACGCTATCTGACATTTGTATAAAGTAAACATAAATACATTCAGACAGTGTGTAATCGATACTAAATTAGCTGGATTTGGAATGGATTGTTTTGTATGGTTATATAACTTTTTCTAGTATTTATGAAAGCGTTTTTGTATATTTATTATTGGAGTTTATATGGAGACGACATGTTAGGAATACTTTTAAATGCTGACATCTGGTGATCGATAAACAGAGTATTGTAGAATCTAAAGTCAGCCTCAACACATTGTGTTTAATATGCTAATCAACGCTCTGATATAAAAGCATTCGAAAATTGATGCTTTCATTTTGATATTGGGTATTTATTGTTACAATTGATTTTCACTTTTCTTAAGTGTTTAATTAACCATTAACTGTGCAACACTTCCTGACTGGTAGGTTACTATTGGTTGCATATTAGTTTCTCATGCCCCACCCGTATGCCTTCTTAGGTAACTGCCTTGATGGCCAAATGTTTGACTGACAATACAAAAATAAGCATTTGAAAGAGCGTGCAGAAAGCCTCTGATGAGAAACTTGTGTGCAAGAAATAGTGACGAAAAAAATTGGCTGGTCTAATATAAATGGCCTCTGTAGTTCAGTTGGTCAGGGGGTTCAATTCCTGCCTGACGGCCTATAGTTTGCAACTACCCCTGGTTAGGTTTAATGGTCGGTGGTGCAGTCGTTAGAGCACGTGCCTTTCACTAACTCTGAGAATGTGGATTTGATTCTTGATGTGAAAACAGTCAGTCAATGCTCTGCCAAAAGTTGTGTGTTTTCTCCTGGTGCTCTGGTTTCCTCTCGCAGGGAAAGTTGACAGGGTGGGTTACTGTTAGGATAAACATAGTTTATAGGAAAGTAATATCACGACAGTCTAGGCTAAGTAGGTACAGTAATACAAGTAAGCGTAATACTTGATGTAATCAGTCACTGAAAAGCCTCGTTGGGAAGTGAGCATAAAATTTCCATCTAAATTCCCACCTACAAAACCCTTTTACATTTAGTAAGAGTATCTTCAATTTCTAGATAATCGGTGGTTTTCTATTTGGCATCGGTATATATGCTAATGTGCAGAAATCAGAATACTACAAACGTTATAGTGAATTCTACGATTTCATCAGTGACCCCACCATAGCTGTGATAACATGTGGATGTCTTATTATTGTCGTGTCCATGTTTGGTATGATTGGAGCTCTCAGAGATAATATCAAGTTACTTTATGTGGTAAGTGTGTTCATTTGAAAAGTGCTCCTATTACCGGGGGACTTCTGGTTATGTTGGTAGAGTTGGGAGGTCTGTATCTTCCCTTTTCCCTATAATATTTTGGCTTTGGATGTTCCTGTGTTTCTATTGCAAAATACAGTATACCTTGTTTCCTCGAATGCCTTGAGAGACTTTCATAGCTTGGCCAGAGAAGTCCTCCCCTCCATGCAGTGCCGGATTAACCCATTGAGCCGCAATGTGCCCTACTTATTTTTTTTACTTGTCTAACACCAGAAATTTTACTTGTCAATGGGGAAGCCCCACAGCTTAATGGGTTAACCAAAAAATCTGACAATGTCTCTTTCGTTAACCCATTGAGCCGCTTTCACCCCAGTGTGTTGTGGCCTACTTTTTTTTTACTTATCTAATGCCAGACAATTTACTCGTCAATGGGGAAGCCCTGCAGCTTAATGGGTTAACCATGTGGCAGAAGTGGGTGGCATATGTCACAAGCCTCATGCTTTTGGGGGCCCCGCACTTTGTGTAAACCATCGGATGCCAGTGCTCTCCTCTTGACAAGTAAAATTGTCTGGAATTAGACAGAGTGCCTGTGGTAAAGTAGGTCACATTAGGATGCAATTCAACTTAATGGAATGTTACTAATTGAGCTTTTCTCTATTTTGTAGTATTTGTTTTTCGTCGTTTTAATATTCACATTTCAACTAATAATTGGTGTTCTTGGGTTTATATTCTGGACTGAGGTAATAATGGACATTAATGGATATTATAGAGTCAAATCAAAAACAGGCTGACACTTGTAAAATAATTGCAGTTGTAAGATTAAATTTTTTTTTCAGATCAAAGATTCTGTGAATACTGCATTTCTGTTAGCAATAATAAAGTACAGGAGAGATCATGATCTGACAAATGCTGTGGATAGCGTACAGATTAATGTGAGTCATCATTCATTGAATAATGAATAGTAAGTTTGTTGTGGCTGCAGAAGTTAGGCAGCCATGGAGTATTGCTACTGTACCTAGTAAGGGGCTCACCCGAAATTCAAAATGTACACTTAAAACTTCAAAACTTTATTATTATTATTATTATTATAGTTATTATTATTATTATCATCTTTATTAGGGTCAATTAATCATATATTACAAAGAAAAAACGTAGAAAATATTCAATCAAACTATTAATAGAATATAGACCCTAAATGGGCAAGGTATAAAGGGACTCAAAGAACCATGCAAGATACCTTCCCAAACATTACTAAAACTAATTTATATAACATTACACACACAACTCTACACACACCTAGTGCACCACAATTTACGTCTTGTGACACGAACAGTCACGAAACAAGGACCACATACATGACAAGTGAACATCATCAATAAAATCAACAATACTAGAGTATCTACGTTTAACTAAATATTTAAAAGAACTAGGACTAGACACAGTGTCCAAACATGCATCTTCACATACAGTGTTCCACAGTTTGACAACACGAGTTGAAGGTTACAGGCAAACTCCAATAAATTATTGACAGCTATAGAGCACTTCACACCATTTACTCAGTGGCAGACACTTTGCAAAATATTGGGCGGGGGGCAGGGGGGGGGGCAGGCAAATTTAGATTGCCAATTATTATATTTACCAGACCTACCACCTGCAAATCTCAGTTCTTTAAATTTACCTAAAGGCCCATTTCCACTCAGGAAAATTTTCCATGAAAAGAAAATTTTGTAAAATGTGATTGGCGGACACAAATTTTCCATCGGAAAAAAATATGAAGTTGAAAATTTGCAACTTTTAACAATGGAAAATTTTCCATGGAAAGGGCCTTTAAATTTCATGCAGATTCGCCCAATTAATATCCTATCAATGTTTTTATTTTGGTAAAATTATTGTTCCACTGAATGTACTAAAGGCTGTGATATTCTTTTTTCCTGCAGTTGGAATGTTGTGGCAGTACTTCTCTTGATGACTGGGATAGAAACATTTACTTTCGTTGTGGTCAGAAAACCCCTGAAGAATGTGGTGTACCTGTGTCGTGTTGTAAAATTAAGGATAAGGTATGACTGAGCTTATCCTCATTACAATTACTTTGTCAGTAAAAGAGAATACTGGATCAACAAGGGATGATTCTTACTGGTACTCTAAAAAGAACAGTTTAGAACTGATAGACCTATCCAGTATAAATAAAGTTAGTTTAGTTTAGGTTTCCTCCTGTAGTAACACTGGATCAATAAGAGATGATCCTTACTGGTCCTCTACAGTAGGAAGAACAGTTTAGAACTGATAGAACTATCCAGTATAAATAAAGTTAGTTTAGTTTGGGTTTCCTCCTGTAGTAACACTGGATCAATAAGAGATGATCCTTACTGGACCTCTAGGGAGAACAGTTTAGAACTGATAGAACTATCCAGTATAAATAAAGTTAGTATAGTTTGGGTTCCTCCTGTAGTAACACTGGATCAGTAAGAGATGATCCTTACTGGTCCTCTACAGTAGGAAGAACAGTTTAGAACTGATAGAACTATCTAGTATAAATAAAGTTAGTTTAGTTTGGGTTTCTTCCTGTAGTAACACTGGATCAATAAGAGATGATCCTTACTGGATCTCTAGGAAGAACAGTTTAGAACTGATAGAACTATCCAGTATAAATAAAGTTAGTTTAGTTTGGGTTTCCTCCTGTAGTAACACTGGATCAATAAGAGATGATCCTTACTGGACCTCTAGGGAGAACAGTTTAGAAATGATAGAATTACTATCCAGTATAAATAAAGTTAGTTTAGTTTGGATTTCCTCCTGTAGTAACACTGGATCAATAAGAGATGATCCTTACTTGACCTCTAAGGAAACAGTTTAAGACTATACAGTATAAATAAAGTTCTATATTGGTACATTGTATTTTCTCTAGGTTTCCAAGTTAAAAACGCAAGAGGTTTCTGAGAACAGTACAGATCCAGAGTTTGGAAACTTTAAACTTAGCGGTATAAATCTACAATGTGGATATAAAACACGGCACCACCATGTAAGTTGAACATGTTCTTTAGAATTTTAAAAAATAATAGTATTTCAATTAGAACGTGGTTACAATGTGTTCCAAATGCCAAATCCATGCGTTGAACAGCATTTGCAAAGTCAATGAAGTACCTGTTCAAGATCTGATTCATATATTTCCAGAGGCTGAAGTACCGAGATGAGATTCACACCCGTGGTTGTCTGGATGCTCTCGTTTTGTGGTTGTATGATAACATGTTGCTCGTTTGTGGCCTTGTCACTGCTTCTGTTGTCCCTGAGGTAATTTTAATACAGTAATTTCGATTTCCTCCTGTAGTAAGACTGGATGAATAAGAGATGATCCTTACTGGACCTCTAAGAAGAACAGTTTAGTACTGATAGAGCTATCCAGTATAAATAAAGTTAGTTTAGTTTAGGTTTCCTCCTGTAGTAACACTGGATCAATAAGAGATGATTCATACTGGACCTCTAAGAAGAACAGTTTAGTACTGATAGAGCTATCCAGTATAAATAAAGTTAGTTTAGTTTAGGTTTCCTCCTGTAGTAACACTGGATCAATAAGAGATGATCCTTACTGGACCTCTAGGAAGAACAGTTTAGAACTGATAGAGCTATCCAGTATAAATAAAGTTAGTTTAGTTTCGGTTTTCTCCTGTAGTAACACTGGATCAATAAGAGATGATCCTTACTGGACCTCTAAGAAGAACAGTTTAGTACTGATAGAGATATCCAGTATAGATAAAGTTAGTTTAGTTTACGTTTTCTTCTGTAGTAACACTGGATCAGTAAGAGATGATCCTTACTGGATTAATTTAGTTTTCCGCCTCCTGTAGTAACACTGGATCAATAAGAGATGATTCTTACTGGACCTCTAGGAAGAACAGTTTAGAACTGGTAGAGCTATCCAAGTATAAATAAAGTTAATTTAGTTTTCCGCCTCCTGTAGTAACACTGGATCAATAAGAGACGATCCTTACTGAACCTCTAGGAAGAACAGTTTAGAACTGATAGAGCTATCCAGTATAAATAAAGTTAGTTTAGTTTAGGTTTCCTCCTGTAGTAATACTGGATCAATAAGGGATGGTCCTTACTGGACGTCTAGGAAGAACAGTTTAGAACTGGTAGAGCTATCCAAGTATAAATAAAGTTAATTTAGTTTTCCGCCTCCTGTAGTAACACTGGATCAATAAGAGATGATCAACCTTACTGAACCTCTAGGAAGAACAGTTTAGAACTGATAGAGCTATCCAGTATAAATAAAGTTAGTTTAGTTTAGGTTTCCTCCTGTAGTAACACTGGATCAATAAGAGAAGATCCTTATACTAGACCTGTAGGAAGAACAGTTAGTTCAGTTTCGGTTTCCTCCTGTATGGAAGATAACTTTTGCTGGTCTTATACAGTAGATAGAATAGTTATTAAGAAGTAATAACTTTGTCTTTCAGATATGTGGAGCCTGCCTCACGTTCTTTTACGTCGCGCATATCAAACGAGCGAGAAAGGAATGGGTGGATGGCAACCGCCGTTCACATTTGTTCGAAAGAGAAGCCATTACAGACTTTTAAAATCCATAAACCAGGTTGGGACATGTCGATGAAAGATACTGAAGAATCATGAAGGATGTGTAATGTCAACTGAGATGCCTCGTACTGTAACCTCTCATGAATGGATGATTGTTCTCAAAGGCTGTTAACAGTGCGAATGACAGGATATACTTATAAGGTATCATTTTGAGATGTACGCTATTATATGGAAAACTTTGACGATGGTTATATAATTATAATATTGATAACATTTACGTGGGACTGTGAATTAAATTGCGGAAGTTTGCAAACTACAGAATATTTGTGAGAAACATTGCTGATTGCATGCCAAAATATAGTGCTAATATACTGTACTCCTTGCTATTTGAAAAATCCTGATGAAAACAAACATTGAAAATGTGATGCTGAAAAGCGAAATTGATAGACAAAGCATGATGCTGATTTGCGTGACTACACAATGGATTTAACTTCGTACAAATTCTAAAGATTCCACTCAGTTCTATGTTAAAATTGTTGCTTCGTCTTACATTTTTGGATTAGAGAATAAGTTACAGTACAGGATACTTGGGTGGGGTCATTAAACTAGCACTCCAAAATGGACCGTTGAAGGCGTATGTTAGCTATTATTCTATAATAGCTTTAAAGGTGATCTACAGTCCGATCTGCGCATGTGCACAAATGAGCCCAGTTTTTATGATACAAACAGTTTAACTATGTTTTGAGTTCTTGAAAAGCCTGATTGTTGTTTCTTGATCATTTATTATACTCTAGAAGCTTGAAAATATAAATAGTTGTCGAATAAAGTTCAATATTTTGGACACAAAAATGTAAACAAAGGCTTTGTTTACATACGGACTGTAGATCACCTTTAAAATATTATATATTTACATAGTATAGATTATAACTAATTGATAAAATTATATACACACTATATATACACACTTTTATACAACTCATTCCATTCCATTCGTGCTTGTACTAGTACTGCTACTCTTCCTAGAATGAGATGAATCCTTCCTTAATAATTCTCCATTGCATTCATAATAAGCAGACGAAGTATTAAAACACAGTTCTTTCTTTAAAGCATTCTCATATGTCTTGATCTGTTTCAAAAGACTTGCTAAAACAGTCTTACTTTCACTCAGTTCCTCTCTTAACGCCCTGCTTTCGTTTCGTAACGTTTCGTTTTCCGTCTCCACTCGTATGTTTCGTGCTTGTAGACACACGATCGTTTTTTCCAAGTTTGCATTCTCCAGTTTCAATAGTTTTACGGCTAGTTCTGGTTTCGTGTTGGAATTTTCAAATAATGCTTCCACGCTCTCTATCGTCTTCGCCAAGGAGTCCATCTGTTGAAGAAAAGGAAGAATTTGATTGATTTAACAGCTTTAAATTGACACGTAATAATAATACTAATAGTGATAATGATTTATTGGTAATATATCCACAGAGTGGTTCTTCGCTTACCAAATTATATAAATTATAAGTATTCATAAAGTCTATATATATATAAACTATTTTACGAATATCACTGCAATATAACTTTGAATACAAAATTACGAATTAGCTAAGTTAGAACAAAACTGTACGAAACTATATACATTTCAATGTTTCTTTCTAAGATGGTCCAAGTCTTGACCATGCTTTCAAAACTAAGAAATTCTTGGTCTCATTGTAGAAAACTCTGCAGTCTCTGTAGTTCCTAATTTCGTCTGGTAATTGGTTAAAAAGATGTGTTGATTGGTCCTGAAATCGTTCTTATGAATTAAAGGGACTTGAAACTGAGAGCCTTTGCTTGATCTCAGAACTCGAGAACTTGACAATAGCTGGATAACTTGACAATATTGTACATAACTTACATAGATAATCACATTGAACAAGAATATGGAGACTCAGACTAGTAACTATAATTCTATAGAAGGTGGCAAACGTGGCGATATACAAACGAGACTGGCGCCCGTATTCTAAAAGCTCACTCACACTCAATGAGTGGAAGTTCGATCTGAGCTTCTCTCGAGTGTCATCGCTGTTTTTGAATAGCTGGAGGGTTAGTGTCGTACCTTACTACGTGCAGACTACTCACCATCCACTATTCAAAAACAGCATTGACACTCAAGAGAAGCTCAGAATGAACCTACATTCATTGAGTGTGAGTGAGCTTTAAGAATACAGGCGTAGGTCCCATGCATGGTGCACACCACTAGATGAGATAGAATAGAAGAGAAAGAAGAATATAGAATAGAAAAATGGAAGGTGAATGGAAAACTAGAAGCACAGAAGAGAGAAGTGTTAGAATCATACCTATATAAGACTTACCTCCACCTGACTGCTACTGCCTACACTCTAGCTGGCTTACCTAGCTCACACTCATTGACCACGACTAACTATAATATCTTCAGTTCATTCGACCAAGCAAGCGTCTGTCACGTCTGAGATTGTGAGTTCGATTGACGATGTAGACACATGATACTTATATGAAAAAAGTCGAAACCGAAAGTCGTGGGATTTTTCCTGGTACTCCAATATCTTCCCACAGGGAATGTTGAGAGGGTGAATTGGGATTAACCTCTAACTGATACTGGACTGGCTTCGTGATCACACATTAGCATCCCTAGACTATCATTAAGCGTCCTTATAGACTCGATCAGATTAAGCTCAGACCCTCAGTTTTCAGCTGCAAGTGTAGACTTTCACAAAGTTCTTAGCCTTTGTTCAGAACGAAGGAATTTTTAAGGAAGTAATTTCTTGAAGTAAGGAGGATTAGCACACCTCACTCGCTAACTTACCTATCAATTCAATCCTGTAAACGCAGTTTAAATCAATCCTAATCTAAACTATAATCCTTTGACCGCTTTGCAATCCTAACCCAAATCCTTACCATGTTCTTAACTTTATTCCTAACCCACAAATTCAAAGTGAAGTAGTGAACTGTCATTGATAAGATTATCGTGAGCTTATTGTATGAAATTCAATGTGATATATGGGCCGCCCGGTATTTATATGAACAAGATCTGTTATTAGTCGACGGGATGACGTCATAAAAACGTAAACATAGTGTTTGTCATTGAATTGGATGGCGCCAGGCACGACGTCGATGGCGCCGTATAAACTGACTGCTCTGCTAAGCTACGTTTACACACAACGATTAATCGGGCCGATTTCAGGTTTTGCCGAATGTTAATGACGAATGTTGTCAGTTGACGTTGACGATGACGTTGACAGCGTACCTTTGAATGCATTTATTTTTAACAGAATCGGTGCTACTGCATGGGGCTCTGACCTATACGCACGTAAAAACGAACAATCTGTTCCCGGTCGATATCAACAGGCTTGAATGAATGAATGAATGAATGAATGAAAATTTTGTTTAAAGAGGGTAAAAACACATGACAGCAATATAACCGAAAAACCTGTGGCCCTCATATACAATACATACAAAGTTATTAATTCTACTTTAAAACGTCTAAAAGCTACTTAGAGTAAATATGTAAAAGATCTTAGGAAAATAAATTTATATATACAAATTATATACAGTACAACTTGCTGATCACAATAATAATTCAAAGCGATCGATGCCCTTGAACAAGGTTGTGCTTGCATCCTACGAACAAGTTGTCAACAATGCTGTTACAGCGTTGTTCAGTTGCGACAATGCTGTAACAATCTGCGATTTTGTTCTTCTGATGCATGTGAACGAGTGGAGGAGTTATGAATGTCCAGATGAGGGTACATACACTCAGAACATTCATAACTCATCCACTCGTTCACATCCATCACAAGACGAATATCGCACCTAAAATCGCAGCAGAAAATTGCAAGTGTAAATGGACCTTAAGGCCCTGTCACACTATTGCGTATGAGAGAAACGTATGAGAAGCGTATGAAAATTAATGAAATAATTTTCATACGCACAAAAAAATCTTTTGAAATGCCAGCGTATGTGTACCGTACATCTGACGTACCTCTAGCGTATTCAGCGTGTGCCTAGAGTATGCTTATCGTATAAAGCATACGTTCGATACGCACAAAATTTTTGAACATGCTTAAAAAAAATTTTCTGCCTCGCCGTATGCCAGCGTATGCCACTGTATGCGACCGTGCTTGAAACGTATACAACCTATGCCTCACGTACCCCTAGCGTATGTCAGCGTATACCGGCGTATGAGTGATATTTTTCATACGCTGGCATACGCTAGTATGATACGCAATAGTGTGACAGAGCCTTTAAGAACAAGTTGTCAATATTATTGTTACAGCATTGTCACAACTGAACAATACTGTAACAACATTGTTGACAACTTGTTCAAGCCTGTCGTTATCAACCGGAAACACGTTGTTCATTTTTACCTGTACAACAGCATGGAAGTTAATAAGTAACCTTCACGAGGAACATCTTGAAATAGTTATGATTGATAATTGTTGTCAAACGAAATTAGCTGGGTGGTCGAACAGGAACATAAATATTTTTATTCAATTTTGTGCTATTGTATCTTGACAGTACAAACATTTCGTTAAATGGATCGGCCGTACTGTTGATCACGACACTTTCTTTACAATTTGAATAAAGTTATGTGTAATGTGATAGTGATAATTCTGTAGTTTACTTTTCATCTAGTGCATGTTTGTGGCATTCACATTTGTGACGGGCCATCGATTCCTTGCAATATATCGGTAATTATAATTTCACCTCACTCGCATATATGAGAAGAACATTTGACTCTACCACTCAAACACCACAAATTTTCTTCTGGTACTTATAGCCTCCTCTACTAACACTGAACAAATACGATACGATTCTCACTGTACCTCTATATGGAAAACAGTTTTGAAACGATAGGGCTTACATGGTTTATAAATGACAGACCAATCGTTAGCCTCCTGCGCTGAGACGCTGTTAGTAACCATTAACCAACCGTAAGACATGCGAATTCAAAACGCCGTGAACTGAACCTAACTTACTTTATACTAGACAGGTCTGTCAGGTCTAAAGGATAAAAACCAGAGTTGTATGGAGTATAACTTGTGATATTTGGTATAGAGGCAAAACGAAAGCCGCTTCTCAAATGCAACTGAGGAGGGATCACAGCCATTATATAATCATATATTACAGAAATAACTTAACAAATATAGAAAGATATAGTGTACAAAATAGCTTACCTTATAAACACTATGATATCTTTTTCAACTAAACACTTTGTTTATGCGTTTAATCTTGTGTGTAATCTTCAAATCACTCTGTTTTCGCACGCAACTACAAGCTTTTGAAAGGCTAACGTCTGCTTTGTTTCACTGAGGCGGTGTGTTTAATGTTTCTGCATATAACCTCAAACTGCCTGTATTCAAATTAGCGTTTGTTATTCTATACAAAAACAAACAAAAATTAATACAACAACACCGTAGGACATCTACCATCAACTGTCCTCTTTGACCTTGGGTTTTGGACCGAAATAGGTGCTTTTGTTTCCTATCGATGGCTATTTATACTTTGAAGTGATAGACATTTTATGGATCAAGACAGACTTAGTCTTCAGAGTTGACATGCAGATTTAAGATAATTCTATGTAAATCAATGGTTTTTAAAGCAATAATTTGCTAACTGAAAACTGATGGTAATTTTTGATTTCTTCGCAGTTTACCCACCAAGTGTATAACAGCATTATTACAGAATAAAAATTGCGCAATCCTGTGGCTTTATGCCTGCAAAATCTGCGGTTATCATTTCGAAATTGTTCTGTCGAAAAAATGACCTAATTAGTTGAATAGTTTTATCTTTGAAAATTTTTGACAGTACTAAATGGAGAAGTCCTTGATAAACACATGACCTCATTGACATTGTCTGACAATTCACTGTAAATGTCAAGGGTGTTATTTTGTCACCCAGCCGTTGTTGAAACAGTTGTTCACCAACAAATAAGCATATTTTTACTGTGCGATTATAATGTTAATTCGTCACATATTTCATGGTATGTAATTTGGAAGACTCTTCACCTTGCTCCTGCTGCCTTGCAACGCTGACTCAGCTGACTGTAAAGCACTAAAGGTTGGTGTACACTATCAAAAAGTTTCTGTGATCACAGTAGGAATTTTGCATGGGTAAATTCCGCTAAGTTCTGAAGGATTTGTAAGAAATGCTTGAGGAAACTGCTCAGTGTTAAACAGTGAGTCAGTTCTTTCAAACATTAATAATAATAATGATTTATTATCAGTATTTCCATACAATGGCTCTTCACCTGATAAAACTACAATATCTAAAGAAATAGTAAGAAAGTTGTAAACCTAGACCTAAGCATTACAATTAAATAGTCTAAATAGTAAGACAGCGTTGCTTTAAAATATTAAATGTTTGTCTAG